CCTTATCATCAGATCTCTATATATATATATAAAAGACTGTACCGGCACTTATCTATTCTTCTCGAATGGAAATAGGTGTCCCTGTATCAGTATTAACATTAAACGAAGAGGCGTATATAGTAGGTCTACAGTTTATAGGCCTGTAATAAGTAGGCAATACTATTCAATGTGCATAAATTTATTTTTGGCGCCACCTTCTCTGCAAGTGACGCCATGCCCCTGTGAAGTATCTCTCTCTCTTGCCCTTTTTAACTCCCAGTGGAGCACATCTTTCTGTTGCACCGGATTTTTCTGAAAGCTTACTCTCTGCCTTTTTCTCTGTCGGGGGAAGCACCCGTTGAATTTTTTGTCAACAGGAACGCGGAGCATTATTTTCTGAAATATTGATTCGAGATTTAGTAGTTGACTCGCCCCAAGTCATGTTGGGTGTTGGATCTTTGCCTGCATGTGCTGTTTTAACTTATAGTCGAAGTAGTAGCGATTTAGCATTCTGACTTGGAAAATACTAAAGATTGCTTTCGCTTTTGTTACCCCTCAGAATTCTCTGATGATAGCCTAACATTACTAATAACTGTTATAATTGCAACATACAAAATGATCAATATTATTCCTAATTCTGCTATTACTATCAAAACAAACTTCATCCGAGTTCTAGTTAGTCAAGCCCATCATCAAGACCCGTCAATGAAACTCTTTCAATCGTGCATTCCCATCACATAACATGACTTCAGCGTGTGAGTTCCACGTGTGTCATGGAGACTGTCCATTGACAGGGTCAACTTATGTTCATGCACACTGGTTGAGGCGTCTCTTGGGATTTACAGTGGTGGGGGAGACGTCTGTTAGATCTTTGACTAAGAGTGCTTGGTGTGATTCTTCAGGATTTCAAAAAATAATGATAACACACACACACACAGAGGATATATATATATGATATATATATATATATATATATATATATATATTATACATGCATGCATATATTTATGGCTACCCCTGGAAAATTTTAAAGTCAGCTTGGCAGTCACCCTGGTGATTTGTCGTTGATCCCTATTTTTTTCACCAGATCCCGATTTTTTTACCCTGAGATCCTGATTTTTAGATTTCATAGAATGGCATGTCTGACGCTGCGATTTGATTGAATGCTTGGTCTGTCCACTTGGGGAACAGGCGGGTTTCACTGGACACTTCTGTCGGGGTTATAGTAGTTAATCAAACACCAAACCCTTCAGTCAGGCTTGTGAACATTTAAGCGATTCTCTTAGGCATTAACTCCTGGAGGAGCGAGTAAAGGTCAGCAAAAATTGTGTTTTGTATGAATATGTAATATGCAAAACAAGAAAGGAGCTGGTAAAACATGCTGTGTAGTTCTGTGTCTTCAAACATTGCATGCAGCATTAGAACCAAATATTAGGATGCCTATGGGGGCTTGAGAAGTTGTTAATTAGGTTGTGAATGAAGTGCTCTACTATTTTAGGTTGAAATTTTTTCTACTGCAAAAATTGTTGTTGTTGTTCCCTCTTCCAATCTATTACCCATGCTGTGCAAAGACATATTTGTAGAGAGGCAGCAAACCCCAATATTCTTTGTTTATTTTAGGGGTTATCGACCCATGGACATTAAATCATTGGAGGTTCTGTCTCTTAAATATTGTTGATGGGGGCTTTAAACCCGGACACTCACACTTACAAACTATCATTCAAATCTTGTCTAACCAAAGGGTTTTTAGTTTTAATATTCCTGATGGGCTTGAGCTCAAGTAGATTTGAGAATTATTGTATGGAGTTTAGGTGGTCAGTTACTCCTCTCATTTTTAGGTGTTAATAACTTTTTATTGTAAACATTATTTTATAACAGGGGCAGCCATTCAACTTCCTGTGCTCCTTACAGTGCCCCAGTATTAAAATTCTTTTACACTTAAAGTCCCCCAGGAAGTAAAAATAAATTCTGAATGCTGACAACTTCTCTGACTCACTATCCTCTCAACAAATGAAAACAAGACTCTATAAGATAATATCAGTGGTCTATTTTTATTATAGCTAAGTTGACCATTGAGGAAGTACTCTGAAAAAAAGAAGGTGCATGCCTGACAAGTTTTGGGCAGCTTTTTCAAGATTTCATTTGTACAGCCATGCTGTGTGCCCATTGCTGCGCTATCGATGAGAATCTATACCAGTGAAATAAATGACTGTGTGCTTCTGTCCGCACCCTGTGTTAATAACATTTTAACAATGATTTGTCGCTTAGTCCCCTCCTGTTTAGCTGTTGCTCACAAGTGTGAATTGATTGTGATCCAAAAGAAAACAAACTAAAAATGTGATATTGGACAATCAGGTCAGATAGTACAAATAATATTTGAATAATTTGAGGAATTGGGGAAATGTCACTACTGTCAAATAGTAACTCTTTGGGTGCAATTCTGTTGCTAGTGCATAGCCATTGGTGGTGGGTTGTTTGTTGTATTAGTGTATGCTTGGGGGCGGAGAGGGGGGGGGGGAGTTAAAGCACATTGAACTGACTGAAGTGATATGGGCTAAAATGACAGCGTTGCTTACTTCCCTGGGTACTGAAGTAGTACCATGGGGTAAACTGAGCTGTGAATGGAGTTACTTCATTGGAACAAATGGATGACTTTGCAGTCTCTTTCCTCTCAGTTTGATGTATATTTGGAGCGGAGAGATATGCACCAAGATAAAATGAGAGTAGCAAGCTGCCTGTTGTCTCTGTCTTTTGTCTTCATCCTTTTTAGGTCTCTGGGTTACTCTTATTGTTGGACCAATTTCTATAGTTGAAGCGAATGAACAAAACTAACATTTGATTTTCATGAGTGTAAACTTTTAGCTGACTACGGGTAGTTGATGTGTGTTATCTGCTGCCCCTCACCCCCACCCCTGCCCCCATCTTCTCTTTTTTAGCACCATCTTTTTCTTTTTTTTTTTTTTTCTTTTTTTTTTTTGGTAAGTGTTTTGCGCCGCAACTTTGATTTGCTTCTTCTTTCCTATCAAACGTCTATCGTTTTTACTCCCCTCGTTCTTTTTGTGTTTGTTACTCTCTTGTAATACGTGTAATCTTCGGCACTTAAATGACCTTATTGTGTTGCAAGTGTCGTAAAACACTTACTAAAACAAAAAGCATAAGGTCATATGAGACCATGAGACACATCAAACATGGTTTGGTGGGAATCACTTTTTAATTTTGCCCTGGTGGCAGCCAAAGCCTACTCTTGTCGACTTTTGGACCAGCAAGGTATCTTGCGCAACTTGTACTCTGTACCTTCTAGATTTTTTCACCCTTATCCGAGAAGGCTGGGTGTTACATCTTACCTGCCACAAGATCCAGAGCTTGACTGAGAAGACAGCAGTAAGAAGGAGCCAAGGAATAGCAGTAGAAAGGCTGCAGAAAGAGTCAGGAGCCCGGAGGAGGGGGCAAAATAGGGTGGGGGTAAAAAGTGGAGACGAAAGCAGACAGAACATGGTTAGAGAACAGGAAAGGAGGTGAAAGGAGAACATTTTAGAGAAGAACATTTTCCGTCGTTGTCAGGTTTCGCGTTGTCAGGTTTCGAACCCGGAACGTATTGAATGAGAGGCGAACACCGTAACCTCTATACCACGAGAGCCTGTCTTTCTTCTTTGCTTTCCCCTGGTGCGTCTCAGGGGTTGTCGACTGCTGGTTCATGGTTCATTAACCTGCAGTGCAAATGGTTTTTACCCCTATGTGACCGTTTCTCCTACTTAATGAGGAGGGACCCTTACCTTCAGGCAGCCATATTCCAATTTCAAAGGTACTATATATGTTTTTATACTGACTAGATTGTTATCAGTTTTGGTAGGAATTAATTCTGAATATCGTCGTGGTGGTGGCTGAAACCTACTCTTAACGACTTTAGGACCACCAAAGGTTCTTTATCGTGCACAACTGCATATGGGACCTGCGAGATTTTTTTGCCCTTATCCGAGAAGGCAAAGCGTTCAGTCTTACCTACCCTAAGATCAGGAGTGTGGGTAGAAGACAGCAATAAGGAGTCAGTAGTGGCAGTATAAAGAGAAAGAAGTGAAAGAGAGAGATGCCCAGGGGTGGGAAGGGGGGTATGGTTGGGAGAAAACGGTGGAGATGAAAGCAGATGACGGAAGATGTCTTAGAGAACAGGAAATGAGATAAAAGGAGAATATTTTAGAGAAGAAAATTGTTTGTCATTGTCAGGTTTGAAACTTAAGACCTTTTGAATGAGAGGCGAACACTGTGCTTCTAGACCACGAGAGCCCCCTTTGTGGCACTCTTGTATCTATTTGAAATTGCCATCATTGCAACAACTTGCCACCACTTACAATGTAACCCTTTTTTCATTTGGCAGGGTTTGATATTTCAGTTTTACACCCCTTTAATCAACATAAGATCACGAATCTCTGATTTTATCGTAGATGTCTGATAGAACCAAGCAAAGCTTCCAGCTCTCTGTCTTGCTAATATTTTTGGTACAAAAGTAGGTTCAGCTCACCCACTGATAATATGTGTAGCATTATGGTTAGATCAGGCGCTCGTCAAAACAATGAGATGAACGAAACTGGCATGTTTTTGTCTACTGGGAAATATTATTCGATTTTTCTTTTCTTTTCTATTTTTGGCTCTACACCTTTTATGTCCATTAAAAATATTAGTTAATTTTATTGGAAAACATACAGAAATGTAAATTTACAGTTCCACATACTCTTAAGCTTTGGAAATCACCAATTTTGTCTTTACTTCTATTCAAGGTGGATGGGTAATTTTTCTATTAAAAGCAAGACAAATGAACAAGTTTTAAGGTGATATCAATAACTCTGTGTGCCCAAAAATTGAGGAGCGCCTGATTCCACCACATTGTGATACATACATGGTCCTATCTGCAAAGAGTTTAGGGATTTTAAAATATTTTTTTCAAAATATGATGCGTGGGATTTACTGCCTTTGTCTTTAGTGAAGGCCATTGTTACTTTTTTTTCATTGCATTTTTTTCTTTTCAGATGAGTGTCGTTCACAATGGGAGATAGTGGCAAGCCAGGGAACAGGTGTGTGTTCCTGTTTAAGAGCCCAAAAGAGAATGAAACAGACAAGTATTCAGAGGTATATCAATTTTCTTTTACTTTATTACCTTGTTATTATCTGGTGCCTTTTTTTTTGTAGCTTACTGATCCTGCTACGTTTTATTTTTGTCACTCATTCAAATTGTTGAGAGGTAGTTTTTTCCCCCTTCAAGGAGAACCTTGATTTATTAAATTAAAACATGTATTCTCTGAATCTGAAAAATGAGAACTGAACAATGATGAGTTTTCTTTCTTCACTCATACTCCGAGTCTTTATTTGTGTGAAACACAGCAGTACAACACAAAAATCAATGTAATGAAATACGTGAAAGCTAATCAATTTAGTTTTACAGTAAGAGTGAATATTCAGCACAGATCAATGTTATTTATTGTGTGCACATTTAAGTCTCCAATGAATATAGAAAGAGAAAATTGGGGAAGTTTTTTTGTCCCCCCCCCCCCCCCGGGCGGAGCCACTGACTGAAATGTCTTTAGGCCATTCCCAAAGCGGGAACGTTTCTTGTTCTTATGCACAGCAGAATTGTAAATGGGCTGATTCAACAATGTCACGCTCATCACTGTGCCTGAACTACAACAGGGAACTGCTTCTTTTTCTTTCCTAGTCCTTACTATCGTCATTTTCCTTTACTTCTTTTATATGTTTGTCACACTCTTGTGACCCACTATTTCCAGGGTGCCTTGAAAGTCGAAGCAGACTTTGTGCTGTTGAAGCTAGAGAGGTGAGCAGAGTAAGTCTGTTTCCCTGTGAAGACTTCTCTGTTGACATCCACCCTTTTGCGCTCATATGACCTCATGCAGTTGCGAGCGCCGTAATACGTCTACTATATATATATATATATAATATATATATGTATATATATAAAGATATATATATATATAAATGATATTATCTATCAGCCTCTTCTTGGTGATCCTGTGTCGTTATTTCATTTATCAAAGAATTGTTAAATATGTTTGAATTGTTGCATTTTAAACAACTCATCAGTTGAGTTGATGCACAATTTCATAATTACAATGTACTTTTTAAATCTGCAAATCATTATTGTGTTGAAGCCTGGGTCTATTCAAACCGTCTCTGATGTGTTCATTGGTCTGTACAGTGGGGGGGGGGGGGGGTTTCTCCAACTAGAGATTTTTGTGCCTGAATAAAGTGTGCCCTTACAGCAGATATATGTACGCGAAATAAGTGTGTATTAAGAACATGTCGTAGCTACGAGAGCCTGTCCTGACCGTACGTGTATTACGTCTTGAGATACTTTACTATGATGTGATGACCAGAGCTACATTTCATACATGAGATATACAGGAGTTTTACTGAGACTGACAACGAATATATTACAGACGTGGTTTTGTTGTGTTCTGATCAGGGACACCAGATGCGTGCGTGAGTGACGTTAGCTTGTACTGAGCGGAGAGGAAGAGCTTAGATAAGTAAAAGAATTCACTCCTCATCAGCGCCATCCCTGGTCCCTGCCGCCTCAGTCTAAATCGGCATCACTTCTTTGGCTCATTCTCTTTGAGCTGTTGAAAGCTTTTGTTCCCGTGGTTTGACGTCCCTGCATGATCAGCATCGCGAAAGTTTTCCTGAACTCAAAAGAAAGAGTGAAATAAATCACTAAGTTTGTGATCGGTGTCATGCTGTCCAAAAACAGGAAAGTTTCGTCAGTGAGCAGATACATGTTTGTTTCTTTTTTTCCTTGGCCAAAATCTGGTAGGAAGGTGCTTATAATGCGAACCATAGGCTTCAGGGACACGAGGATTGTGTAGAGAGTTGAGGAGGTGACGATCATAATGTTCGTTTGCCGCCTTCTCTGGGACTGTGGTTGGCTCTGCTCGGCGTCGATCTTCCCGGCCAGCTGTTTGTTATGCCTGCGCTGATGCAGCACGAGTGAGATGATTGTGAGGATGTTGAGGATCAGGGCCACGCACATGGGTATGTAGCGGAACAGCACGGCAGCCACCGTCTGGCACACTTGGTATGTGTAGAAGGCCTGAGGAGCGGACACGGCAATGACTTTCACTATGTTTGTCGACTGGAAAGTCTGGTTCCAGTTCAATTTTGGCGCGGCATCAACATAAAACAGTACCACTGTGGAAGTCTGGAATAAACACATACTGACCACTACAACAGATACCAGTATTTTGGGGAATTTGTAACAAAGGAATTTTGTTGTCTTGTGGGCAAACGGAAAGGCAATGGAGTAAAACCTCTCTGCCACAAGGAAACTGTTTATGAGAAGGCTGATGCGTCCGAGACTGTCAGGTAGCCAAAGGACCACAGTTGTGAAGTATGTCGAGTACGCGGACTGCCATGTCAAGGGCGTATCGTGCACGATTACTCTGAACACTCTGTTGGTGAGGTAAGACAAGCTCTTGCAACCGTCTGAGAATATAAAGGCGATGAGCATCACTTTTGCTTGATGGGCTATCTTTTGGTGGTACAGGACCAGCACTGATATCACGGTACTCACCAGAGCCATGGACAGAGGGATTATTGTGATCGTCCGGAAAATCTTGAAATAAGCGATTATTTCTGCGAAAGAGATCGTTCCTTTTGCAGCTTTCTTGGGGTTAGCTGGTTTATTTGAGACGGAAGTTTGATTTTTTAACTGTGCCCGTGTTTCATGTGTCTCACATGCACCCTCCTTGTCGGTTTCCAAGTGAGTGCCGTTTTCTGAGGACGTTTTGTTCTCTGTGCCATTGGTCGATGACTGACAGAAACGTTTAAAGTTTATCGTGTGCAAATATTCATGACTTCGGTTTGAAGTAGTTGTTAGACTTGTCAAATTCATTGTCATTTCAGAACTGTTGGTCATGACTTGAGAATCGAGTAGTGCGACAGTGCTGGTTCCTAGTAGGTCAGCAGTCGGTGTCACTGTGTCGGCCAGGGCCGTTATATTGATTATTTCTGAATTATTGTTCCAAACGGCCGAATCAAATAGGACTGTGCTGTTTTCTAGCGGGTTACTGCCAAGTGCTACTCTTCTGACACGTGCTATTCTCTTCTTAGCCCTGCGTGTATATTTAGGTGTTTCCTTCATTCTATAAGCCTTGCGTGCATATGTAGGTCTTTTATCCATTCTGTAAGCCGTTATTCTTCTCCCACTGCCTTGTGACTGAGCCCCCCGAAAGTCGTATGGTGGTGTTGGTTGGAGGCTTGAGGATTCAGTTGCGCCGTCTTTGTTCTGTTCTCTCTGCACATACACGTTTTCAGGAGCTGTGGGAAAATGCACAGAACAAGGCATGTTTTCATATGTCATGAGTGCATTGCCTGTCTGGACACGGAATGTGTTGTTTCGTGTGGGTGGTTATTGTGGCCTTCTTTTGGTTCTCTTACTGGCAGTTATCTTAACCTGTTTTTTCCTAAGGCGTTTGTTATTGGGCTGGCTCGCTGTCATGTTATTTCAAACTCAGATAGCTCTTGGTGCCATGAAGATAGATAGATAGATAGATAGCGTAGTGCATATGTAAGAGATGCAACCTCCTTGGTTATTGAAGAAAGCGCACGAATGTCTATATTCAGATGGATAAGTTTCTTGCGTCACATTGTCTCTGATGCGCCTTTTCTTTGGATGTGTCTTTCTTCCTCTATTTTTCCTCTTACCGTCTGGCATATCGCCACAATTTCGGAACCACCTGCCAGTATGTTTCTAGAAGACCATTAAAGTGAGACAACAGCAATTCAAGACTCAGCTGATCGTATAAGTGTCTTTACTGGTTTGGACTCGTTATCTGCCCCGTGTTCTGCACTGGGGGCGTATTGATAATGAGTGAGCTGACTATTTCATTTTAGTCATATGGTTTTACTGCTCTTGCAACACGATTAGGTAATAAAAAAGGACGAAGATTAGAGGTGTTACAAGAGAGCAACAAACACAGTAAAGGAGGAGGAGACATTAGGACAATATAGATGTTTGATAGGAAAGAAGGAGCTACCCACACAAAACTGCCGCTACTCTCTCTTACGAGCTGACTATGACTGAGAACCAGGGAACACATTATGCATGTCAGGGTTTGGGTTATTTTTGGTTAATATCGAGAAGCACTGTTTCCCCCTTTTTTACGCAAAGCATTCCCTGAATACTCGGCCTTACACTCTACAAAAGATAATACTTGGATGAGTAGAGAAGTTGTGCGAAAGAAAGTTGGCGTGGAGCGAAAGGTAATCTCACTCTTCATTGGACGGGCCCTGTTGCCTGCCGTTGCTGTACCGTCCTTGTCTGTGGGTTGGCTGTTCTGCTGTGAGGCGGCGGCAATCGCAACGACGAGCACAAACGTGAGTCGAATCTCTCTCTGTACCCTCCACCGCTGCCTAGCGGGGGAGACTCTTGCTCTGCTACAAACCATCTCGTCACGTCAGACTTGGGTAGAATGTTGGGCTTGTTTAGGTTACTGCTGCTTATAAACCATCCAATGTTTCACCTTCAATGGTGATTTTTACTTGATTACTTGACAGCTGAGTCTTCAACTTTATGTCTAAATGGTGAGGATTAGTTAAGGGGATAATGTGACCTGTTTGTGTTGAAAGGGCCGTAAAACTCTTACTAAACTAAAAGTTAGAGGGATTTCCAGAAAATCTTGGACACGAGAGGCACTAATCCCCTCAAGTCATTGTTGGTTTCGATCAACCGTCTACTTCATATACCGCGTTTTGAAAGGGCGAGCTATAAAGCACCACTTTGGATTATCTTCATCGAGAGCGACAGATGATGCGAAGTTCACTCTCAGATGATGGCTCAGTTTGTGTTCTGTGAGTGCCCATTAGTTTCAGGCGGATTCTTTTGCGTCTCCGACTGTATCTCGAGTAGGCCTACTATAGTACTAAAAGTGTAAGTGGGCACTGATCGATTTTGTTGATCCTATGAGACTAGCAGGGTTTGTTTTGTTTTTATTTAAGCGTATATGTTAGTTTGACGCATGTAGCGTTTTGTGGAATGGCTGTTCAAGAATACCCGAGAGCTGACAGACGAATGGTGGGCACGCCGTTTGTTGTTCGGTTTCTCACCCGGGTCTTTTCTGGCGAGTTCCTTGCGATCTCATGTTTACCTCAGTCCTATTCCAGAATTATGTTGAAGTTCGATGTCCAGTCTCTTAGTAAATTACCGCATTGCCGGGAAAGAGGTCAACAGTGTGTGTGCATATGTGTGTGTGCGCGCGCGGGCGTGTGTGTGTGTGTGTGCGCGCGCGGGCAGGTGTGTGTGTGTGCGCGCGCGCGCAGGTGTGTGTGTGTGATGGTTGGGGGGGGGGGGATAAACACTTGCTCACCAGTTGGAGTTGCAGCCCCTTCTGATGGTTGAATATCTCACATGATAAAAATGGTCTCTTCTCAGGGTACTTATTTACTATATTATTATAGTCTCTGCTTTCTTTCCGCCATTTCTCCTTCAGTGTTTCCGAACATCCAAGTGTTCCTTTTCTCAACAGTTCATGTACTTGTCTCGAGTTGGGCTTAAAGCTCAAAAAAAAAAAAAAACAAGCAATAAAAAGGCATTGTGAAAAACTGGAAGAAAATGAAGACATCTCCGACGATAATGTTTGGTGGGCGTGGTTGAAGGTTTGTGTGTGTGTGTGTGTGTGTGTGTGTGTGTG